CTTAGCTTCCAAGATCGGACAAGATTGGGTCAGAATGATATGGTCCTAGACCTTTAGCATCATTCTGGACACTCGTACTCACTACCTCTGAGACCCCTGGCTCCTGTTACCTTCAAGTGGGCTTGGGAATTCTTCAGGTGCTTCTGGGCCTCTGAGGCTATTCTATTGGCCTGGCTGAGCTGGATCTCCATCTCATTGAGGTCGCCCTCCATCTTCTTCTTCACCCGCAGGGCCTCATTGCGGCTGCGTGTCTCTGCATCCAGGGAGGTCTGCAGGGAGTCCACCACCCGCAGGTGGTTGCGCTTGGCCTGCTCCATCTCCTCATCCTTCTCTGCCAGCTTCCTTTCGATCTCTGCCTTGATCTGGTTGAACTCCAGCTGGGCGCGGAGGATCTTGCCCTCCTCGTGCTCCAGGGAGGCCTGGAAAGTGGGGAGGAGTCAAAAGTGGGTAATCAGGGCTGAATTAGGTGGGATGTCGGGGATGAGAGGATGACAGACTTTCACCAGGCGGTGGCCAAGAAAGGAGCTGTGGTAACAGGCCCTGTACCCAGACTGCTGTGGGAGAGGAAGTACTGGACGCCTAGGGCCTCCTGACTTCTGGACCTTGTTACTTTGGAAAGGAGACTCTGCTTTTGTTTCCACAGAAAGCCAGAGGCTATGGATTTGTTCCAGATTAAGATACATCAGGTTTGACCAGCCAAGACCCCCTGAAAGGTCTCTGATGACACCATGGCCCAGATGATCCAACATCCAGAACCATTTCAAGGCAACTAGCTCAGACGATACACCCTCATGGACTACTCCATAACCCTAAAATTTTCTTTGTTTCCCCAAAAGATACAGCGCCCCCCTCCAGCAGGAAGTAGTAAGAGAAGCTACGCCCAAATTCCCAAATATACCAAGCTGACTTTGGAGATGTGTAAAGGTTAAAACCTTCCTTTTTAAGAAAAGAAAAGGGGAGGTGCTGTGGGATGGTCTGTATGTCAAATGTGTTGCTGATTGGTCAGTAAATAAATCACTGATTGGTCCGTGGCCAGGCAGGAAGTATAGGCGGGACAAGGAGGAGAATAGAGCTGGGAAGTGGAAGGCTGAGTCAGGAGACACTGCCAGCCGCCATCAGGATAAGGAAGATGTAAAGTACCGGTAAGCCACAAGCCACGTGGCAAGGTATAGATTAATAGAAATGGATTAATTTAAGCTGTAAGAACAGTTAGCAAGAAGCCTGCCACGGCCATACAGTTTGAAACCAATATAAGTCTCTGTGTTTTCTTGGTTGGGTCTGACGGCTGTGGGACTGGCGGGTGTCAGAGATTTGTCCTGACTGTGGGCAAGGCAGGAAAACTCCAGCTACAGGACCTAACTCTGAAAAGGAAAGAATTTGACTTCTCAGTCACCAGACCTTTGGGACTAACACAGCAGGAGTTCCTGACCCACCAAGAAAAAACAATCATAGAAAAGGTTTAAGTTGGGGCTGGAGAGATAGCTCAGTGGTTAAGAGTACTGGCTGCTCTTCCAGAGGATCCAGGTTCAGTTCCCAGCACCCACATGGCAGCTCAAAACTGTTAACTCCTGTTCCAGGGAATTCGGCATCCTCACACAGACACACATGCAGGCAGAATACCAATGCACATAAATTAAAAAAAAAAAAAAGAAAAGGTTTAAGTTTCTGTAGCCCCAGTCTGGGACTGTCCCAGCTTCTTAGCAATGCACAGTAACAGAGGCTAATATTTAACAACTTCTTGACTGTGTTATCTCGCTTCACCTTCATAACAACAATCATCCAAACAATCTTATGAGGTGTGTTATTAATTCCACCTCACAGAAGGACAGCAAAGCACACGGACGGTCTCATGCCAGGGTTCAAATCCAGGTCCTCTGACCCTGGAGCCTATGTTCCTCCCAGGCTGTGTGAGCTGTCATTATGATGGCCAGATTCCAACTGGGAAGCAAGCCTTCTGCCCTGAAATCGGACCGTGGCATTGTCCGATGTGAAAGCCTTAGCTTTGGAGGCAGTCATGGTTACTGGGTACATGATCTTCTACTAAGAACGGGAGCCAATAGATTTTTGTCTGTGCGTCAGGGTGACTCCTGTAAGGTAGGGCACAGTAGGACAGACTGGAGAGTGCAGAGAGAGTTAAACCCTCACCTCAGCCTCCTCCAGGGCCGACTGCAGCTCTAGTTTCTCCACCTCCAGCTGCTTGCGGATCTTCTCCAGCTCGTGCACATTTTTTCCCCCTTCTCCCAGCTGTTCAGTCAGGTCTGAGATCTCCTCTGAGGATCAGAGGACCAGAAAGATCAGTATTCCAGTGCTGCCTGATCCCACTTGGTCCACCTTTCCCTGTGGCCCTTCCCTGCCCCTCAGCTCACACACCCTGAAGGTTCTTGTTCTCTCTCTTAAAGGTCTCCAGGTGCTCCAATGACTCCTCATAGGCATTCTTGAGCTTGAAGAGCTCTGTGCTCAGGGAGCGCGCCTCCTTCTGGGAAGACTCCAGCTCTGACTGGGACTCCTCATACTTCTGCTTCCACTCTGCCAGGATCTGTAGGGGAGGGGCACACTGGCCAGAGCAGCCCCAGGCCCTCCCTCCCCTGCCTCCAAGGAGAATGCTCTGGCCTTGAGCTGGCACAGACCCCACCATCACCATGCACACTGCCCACAGCCCCACCCTGAGGCTACCTTGTCGAAGTTCCTCTGCTTCTTGTCCAGGGCAGCGGCGGCGGCATTGGAGCGCTCCACGTCCACCATCAGGTCCTCGATCTCATTCTGCAGCCTGTGCTTGGTCTTCTCCAGTGAGGAGCACTTGGCATTGACGGCCTCCACGGCCTCCTCGGCATCCTGAAGCCGCTGGGCCAGCTTCTTCCTGTCCAGGGGAATGTATGTGACTGTACTTGGAGCAACAAGGCCTTGAGATGATCCCCTTCTTCCCAGTTTTGATGAAAAAAAGACCCAGTTTCTCCCCACAGCTCCCTGAGATGTTGGAACCCCAGCCTAGAGGAGGTGAGGCTGCTGGTGCCTAGAATCTTCTAGCATAGGCTGCCCAGGCTCCCCTATACACACAGCAATCTGGGTGGCAGTGCCTACCCCCACCCCCAAAGCTGAATACCCCCAGGCTGAATGATGGTAGCTCCTCTGACTAACAAGCTTTTTGCTCGTCTTATACGTGAGTATCAGGTATAACCCGGGCCAAAAGCTCACCCGTCAAAGGAAACAAATCAGGGCCAGCCGGATGTACGTCCGTTACGGGTTGCAGGAGTGAGGCTTTTCCACCAAGTGCCTCCATTGCTCACCAGGCCTCCCCATTTGTCTGTTCTCCCACCCCAAAGCTCTTTCCTGCATCGACTCTGCCTGCCATCATATCAGACGCTCTGCTCCTTCCTCTTTGCAAATCCAGGTGGGAGTCACAGTGGACTCACTTGGCTTCCTCCAGCTCCTCGGTCCTCTGGATGGCGTCCGTCTCGTACTTGGTCCTCCACTGGGCCACCTCTGAGTTGGCCTTGGACAGGACACGCTGTAGCTCGGCCTTGGCCTCCATTTCCTCTTCATACTGTTCCCGCAGCAGGTCACAATCATGCCGGGCTGACTGCAGTGCGTGGGCCAGGGCATTCTTGGCCTGGGAAGAGGTGGGCACCAAGGAAGTGGGGCAAACCCAGCGCCCCCACTCTCTAGATCTTATGTCTACTGACGTCAGTCGAGGCCCAGACTCGCCCAAAGGAAGTGGATTCTCGACGTCTTTGAGTGATTTTCATTTGCCTACCTTTCTCCCTTACAAATAAGATGTCCTTAAGTGACCTTGAGGGTCAGTTAGCAGGGAGATAGGTTAATAGGCTATCTCTGGCTTCCAGGTGCATTTCTGGAGTTAACATCACATCCAGGGATGCCATCAAGCCTGTGACACTGTCGTCAACGGGGCCTCACCTTGCCTTCCTCCTCCAGTTGCCTCTTGAGGTCCTCCATCTGCTGGGTGTAGGAGAGCTTGCCTCGGGTCAGCTGGGAAATCAGCGCCTCCTTCTCTTCCAGCTGCCTCGCCAATTCTCCTGGAGGTAGAATGAGGGGCTCTTGGGTCATGGAATGGGGCAAGCAAAGCCCTGCCGAGGGCAGGCTAGGGCGAGGCTAGGGCATCGTCAGGGGGACCCACCATTCTCCGTCTGCAGCTTGGCTCGCTGAGTGGTGAAGTCGTTGAGCGAGCGCTGGGATTCCTCCAGCTTTACGCGGTATTCATTGGCCTGGTCCTCCAGGGTCCGAGACACTTTCTCCAGGTTTGCCTGCGGGCAGTAAGGAGCAGAGGAAAGGTGAATGTGGGAAGGGCCAGGACTGGCAGGGAGGAGGGGTTGTGTGGACCCAGAGCAGAGGAAGAAAAGAAATGGAGAGAGCACAGAGGACAAGCAGGAGGGTGACACAGTCAGAGCAGAAGGGACTCAGTCTGAGGAGGGGACCTGGATCGAGGGAAGATGAGTAGAAAAACGTAGGTGAAGGCTATGGAGAGGCAGGGCAGACAGGAGGTGAAGGCCAACGGGGAATAAAGGGGAATGGAATGACAAGAGAGGGCAGAGAGGACAGGAAGGCCCCGCTGTGAGGGGGAGGGGGAGGCAGCCGAGAAGGCCCACCTTGGCCTTGATGATCTGCTCCATGTTGGAGGTGACGTCATCCAGCTCCAGCTTGAACTCGCTCTTCTCCTTCTCCAGCTTCTGCTTCACTCGCTGCAGGTTGTCGATCTGCTCCCCCAGCTCGGCCACACTGTCAGCGTGCTTCTTGCGCAGGGCCGCGGCTGTGGCCTCGTGCTGCAGGGTGGCCTCCTCCAGGTCCCGCCTCATCTTCTGGAACTCGGCCTCGCGCTTCTTGTTCATCTCGATCTGCACAGACGTGGCCCCGCCGGCCTCCTCCAGCCTCTCGCTGATCTCCTCCAGCTCTCGGGACAGGTCTGAGCGCAGCTTCTCCACCTTGGCCCTGGCTGTGCGCTCGGCCTCCAGTTCCTCCTCCAGCTCCTCGATGCGGGCCTGGCCGGGGACACGGAGGTTCAGACCTGCTTCCTGGACCCCTCCATGGAGGTCCCCCACCCCAGGGCTCTAAAAGGCCCAGGTACTAAATCTCTAGCACTGGTTTTCAGCCATTGGATATAGCTGGCAGTCCTGGATCTCGCTCTGTAGCCCAGGCTGCCCTCAAACTCAGAGATCCTCCTGTCTCTGCCTCTCGAGTGCTGGGATTAAAGGCGTGTGCCACCACTGCCTGGAGCCTAGAGCCATTTTTAATTGTGTAGACTTGGTAGAGGATACTATGGCAGTTGCAGGTAGAATCAAGGGGTGCTGCTAAACACCCTAGAATGAACTGGCCGCCATTAGGAATTCGGCTGATGCCCAACTTTTGAGGATTTCCTAAAAGCACCCGAGACTCAGTTTGAGCACCTGCATCCTAAGCACTGAGGACCGGTGTTTGGGGTGGGGGGGATCTCATGAGATTATGAACCTCAAAGAATCCAGCTTCGTCTGACTCTGCTCCACTAACCGTAAGGCAGGGAAGTAAGTGCTCATGTTTTTACAAACGTTTGCAGCAAGCTCCCTCAAGAACAATCAAATACTGTTGTAATTGTCTGAGTCAACCATGATGTCTAATCAAATGAACTCCTTGCTCTTCGTGGATTCCTTAGTTATGCTCAGGCCTGAGCTTAGCCCGACTGGCCCTTTCCAAGCCAGGTATGTGCCCACAAGGTGCCCTCTTCTCCATACCCCACCTCACTGCTGTAGCCTTCGTCTTGGTCTTGACTAGATTTGGAGAGTGCCCCACCTCGCATTTTGGCCCTTTGTCTCTGTAGGGAAGATTTGTGGGACCCCAGTATTTGGTGTGATGGACAACTTAAATGAACAGGAGTGGACCCTGGGTAGGAGAGAGGAGATCTACACCCCTACTCTCAAGATGGAGAAGGTTGAACTTGAGCAGAGAAGGAGACGCTGTACCCCAGTGCCAAGACCTGGAGAGGGTAACAGCATTATTGTCTCCAAGAGGCCAAACCACTTGCCCAGACTTGTGGCAGAAGACCCCGAGGATGGCTCAATCTTCTGGCTAAAACCAGGAAGGTGTATCCAAGAAGATTGGGGGACAAACCACACACGGATGTGGGTAAGCCTTCGTTTACAGCCTTACTGCCTTTGTACAGTGAGACGAACACTGAGTAGAAGGGAGGGTAGGTGACTTACTCCAGGAGGTAGGAGTGAACTTCACTTCAGGGATGCCTATGGGTTCTCAGCCTGTGTCAGAGCTTGGGGTTAGTACCCGAGGATTGTGAGCAGAGCTGCCTATGGGAAGGGGCTTCGTGAGGGTTTGTCTCACCCCGTGCAGAGGGGAGCAGAGAGGATCAGGGGAGAATTGAGTCCTCTCAGTTATTCCAGAGCAGAAAGTCCATCAGGCAGAGTGCATCTTGGGAAAAAGAAGCCCTATTTCTAGGTATGACTCTCCCTCAAAACAGTTTTGCCAAGAAGACGACACATTCTTGCTCAATGATGGGAGGGCTAGTGTTCCTGTATTGAGGAATGCTTGGGTCTTAGACCGCCTGGAGTCCCAAATGTTGTCTAGAACCTTAAACAGCCCCCACAGCCTCCAGGCTCTGACCCCCTTTGGTCACACAGGGATAAGGTCACCTGGTTTTCCTTCAGTTTCTTCTGCAGCTGAAGAGCCAAGGCCTGCTCATCCTCAATTTTACTGTTCTGCTGATTAATGTCGAACTCTTTCCTGGAGTGGAAGGGACATGTGACTGATGATCTTTTTTCCTCCGGGCCTGTTTTCTTTTATTGCTTTATGCCAAAACCAGCCCCCTGAAATCCTGGCCCTGACAGTGACGGGGAGGGGGGGGGGGGAGGCCTGATGGCTCTCACTTCCCCTGTGCTCAGGGCAGCCAAGCCAGTGGAAATCCAGCACTCTGTGCCGTGGTTACCAGGCCAGCTTCCCTCCTCAGCCCCTTCTGCCCACCACGGGTCACCATGGTTACCAGGCCAGCTCCCCTCCTCAGCCCCTCCTGCCCACCACGGGTCATACTTCTTGAGTTTTTCTTCCAGCTGAAGCTTGTCATTCTCCAGGTCCATGATGCTCTCCTGGGTCAGCTTCAGGTCACCCTCCAGCTTCCGCTTTGCTCGCTCCAGGTCCATGCGCACCTTCTTCTCCTGCTCCAGGGATCCCTCCAGCTGGTGGAGAAAATAAAACAAATAAATACTGGAAAGGCCGAAATCCACAGTGTATGTCTTAAATTTGGGATCCAGTGGGGGTGGGTACTCAAGCCTGCACAGAACTTTCTGGAAACACAAAGGACTCAGCGATATGCCTGATGAGGAGGCACAGAGAACAGAAGAGCCCCTGGGGTCCTTGGATGGGGAGGGGAGAATTACTCACCTCTAGGCACTGACTACAAAGTCTCGATCTGAGAGAGGTGGAGCATGGCTCTTACTACTTACATCATCCACCTGCTGCTCCAGCTTGACTTTAGACTTGGTCAGAGTGTTGACCTTGTCTTCCTCGGCCTGAAGGTCATCCAGGGCCTGCTGGTGGGCCTCTTGCAGAGCTTTCTTCTCTTTGGTCAGCTTGGCGATAATCTCGTCCAGCCCAGCCATCTCCTCTGTTAGATTTTTAACCTGCCCAAAAAAATAAATTAATAAAAAACCCATCACATTGCTTTTAGGGTCAAAGGATATCATCCCAGAGACACCTATAAAGATGCTACCAGCTAGGCCCACGCTCTGGTCTGGAAACCTTCAGGAGACCTGGGCTGAACCCGAGGAAGCTGGACTCACCTTGTTCTCTGTGGCATGCTTCTCCTTCTCCACCTTGGCCAGTGTCAGCTCCAGGTCGTCAATGTCCTTCTTGAGCTCCGAGCACTCATCTTCCAGCTTGCGTTTCTTGGCAGTGAGCTCTGCATTCATCTCCTCCTCGTCCTCCAGCCTCTCGGTCATCTCCTTCACCTTGGCCTCCAGCTGGATCTTGTTCTTGATCAGCTGGTCGCAGCGCTCCTCTGCATCATTGAGGTTGTCTTGTTCCTGGGGGAAGAGGAGGAGGAGAAGTAATGATTAAAGAGAGGAAAGATGCAGGGTCTTTCAGAGGCCTGGAGCTTCTGGATTCCTAGACTCTGGAGATGAGATGGGCAATAATCCAGGAGACAGAGAGAAAGAGGGAAGAGAAAGCCGTGTGGCCTCACCGCCTGCACTTGGAGCTGCAGGTCATTCTTTTCCTGCAGCAGGGACACCATCTTCTCCTCCAGCTCCTTGCGCCGAGCCTCAGACTTCTCCAGCGATTCTTTGACTCGTCCAAACTCTTCCTTCATATTGGCCATCTCCTTCTCCGTTTCTGCGCTCTTCAGCAGTGGCTTGATCTTGAAGTAGAGCTTCATCCATGGCCAATTCTTGACCCCCATGAAGGCCCGGATGTTCCACTGGATTACCAGCAGGGCATCCCTGACAACAAAGTGTGGAATCAGGAAGAACGCTGGAAAGAAGTCTCCTCAGTCATTCTGTCAGTTGCACTGGCCTCCTCCTCCACCTAAGCAGGTTTGTAGGCAGCAAGGACAAGGGCATTGTAGCCCATGTGTCCTTCCAAGGCAGGATCTCTACACTGAATGGGGATTCATGACTTAGTGACGTCAATGAAAGGGTGGTGTGCACTCCCCTACTGGGGCAGGAGCAGAGAGTGTCTCCTGTGCTCACCGCTTCATTTTCAGGAGACCTTCAGATAAGCTACAGACTATGCAGCACTTCACATCTCAGCATGCCTGTGACATGCATGGCATGAAGTATAAAAACAAGATGACTGCTTGTGAACCCACCCCCTGAGTAGGAGATGGAGCCTCCAGATACTGAGCTAGCAGTGTGCTCCACCCTCTGCCTTGCCTGGGCCTCTACTAGAAGCAGCCATTGCTGCTGTCCATCTTGGTTTTCATTTTCTTAAATTTTTTTTTCTGAGTGTGGTAGTGCATACCTTTTATCCTAGTGCTTAGGAGGCAGAAGCGGGTGGATTGCTGTGGAGGTCAGCCTGGTCTACATAGTGAGTACCAAGCCAGCCCTGGATACATAGTAAGACATGGTCTCCATTTTTTAAAATTTGTGCACGTGTTGTATACAGACACATGTGTGTGAGTGTGCATGTCCAGGTGTGCCTCGAGGCCAGAGGAGGACATTAGGTGTCTCTGTCACTCTCTGCCTTATTCCCTCGGGACACTGAACCTGGGATTTGCCGGTTCAGTTAGGCTGGTCTCCAGCAAGTCCTGGTGAGACTCCTGTCTCTGCACCCCACATCTCTGGGGTCCCAGGTTTATGCAACCACACCTGGCTTTTCGTGTGGCTGCTGGAGATGTACTCATGTTTGCACAGTAAACGCTTCCTGAGTCATTTCTCCAGCTCCTCATCTCCTTATTTCTTCAGAGAAAATATTTTAACAATGCAAAAGTAACTTTAAACAATGCATTTCTGAGCAGGGCATGGTGGTGCATGCTTTTAATCCTAGCACTCGAGAGGCAGAGGCAAGAGGATCTCTGTGAGTTCGAGGCCAGCCTGGTCTACAAAGCGAGTTCCATGACAGCCAGGGCTGTTACACGGAGAGACCCCGTCTCCAAAAAAAAAAACCCAGAAAGAAAGAGAGAGAGAGAAAAAAAAAAAGGAAAGCTGCAAACTTGAAGACCTGAGTCGTTTGAGTCCTTGGACCCAAACAGTAGAACGAGACACCCAACTCTGGGCTGTCCTCCGACTTTTATATATGTGATATGGCATCTCCCCAATAAATAAATGAATCTAATTAAAAAAAAAAAACTAGGCCGGGCGGTGGTGGCGCACGCCTTTAATCCCAGCACTCGGGAGGCAGAGGCTGGCGGATCTCTGTGAGTTCGAGGCCAGCCTGGGCTACCAAGTGAGTTCCAGGAAAGGCGCAAAGCTACACAGAGAAACCCTGTCTCGAAAAAACAACAACAACAACAAAAAACAACAACAACCAAAAAAAAAAACTAAGTATGTTAAAGAGAGAATAATAAAACGTTTTTCAACATCCTGTGCTAGTTTATACATCTACAGACTTCTTAGTTAAGCCAGTGTTTTGAAGTGTCTTTGGAGCCTTTAAAACAACGGTTCCAAATGAAACCTATTACAGTAGCGTTGCTCGGCCACATCACTAGCAAGCGGCGGAGCCAGGGTCTGAACCCAGGTCTTCTACTCGGCACTGCCTGCCTGCCTCTCCCCTGACACCTTTCCCTTCCCTCCTGCCTCACCTGCGTTCCACTATCTTCTTGAACTCAATGCGCATGAGCTGGCCTCGGGCCTGAGCCTGGATTCTGGTGATGATGCGGCTCAGCCTCTCATCACGCATCTCCTCCAGCAGCCCCAGCAGCCCCGCCTTGAAGAACACCTGTGGGCAAGTGGGTAGAACCAGCCTGGGGGCGCAGCCTCAGAGGAGGGTGACCAGAGTAGAGCTGAGGGAAAGACTGTCCCCAGTGAGCTCCCGGGGACCTGTCACCTGTGCATTCGGGGTCTGACTGTGGGGATGCAAAAGTCTCAGCTGTGCCACTCAGCATGGCTACCTGCTCTGCAACCATTATGTGGAGCTCCAGACTCACCTTGGTGTGACCAAACTTGTACTGGTTGTGGTCAATGTCCAGGGAGCCCAGCAGCTTCTCAGCCCCTTTCCTGCTGTCAATGAATTGGCCCTCAGGGATGGCTGCTGGGTTCAGGATGCGGTACCTGGGGAGGGAAGTTCTCAGAGTCATTTGCATTCTGTGTGGGTCTGCTCTGCCTACAGAATTCCAGGGCCACCATAGACCCCCTACACCCACCAAGTCAGCCCACCCCTGGCTCCTTGAGCCTTGGGGCACCCCTTACCCACCTCTGTCGGAAGTCCCCATAAAGAATTCGGTTGGGGAAGCCCTTCCTGCAGATGCGGATGCCCTCCAGCACACCGTTGCATCGCAGCTGGTGCATGACCAGGGGGTTGTCCATCACCCCTGGGGCAGCAGGGGAGAAGGGAATCAGCCTCCAGGTCCGTGGACGGCAGGCAGCCTCCCTTGACTAAAACCTTCCCTTCCCGTGGCTCACCTGGAGCCTTCCGCTCATTGGGGATGATGCAGCGCACAAAGTGAGGGTGGGTGGTCCTCAGGTTTGTCATCAGCTTGTTCAGATTTTCCTGGATGGGAGTAGAGTCCGGGGAGTCAGGGGCCAGGAGGACCTTGGGCCCCTGAGCACTGGGCTCCAGATGCCCCATCAACAGAACCACCCAAGGAAGCAGGGTGAGTTCAGTCTCATACAGTGTTTAAATACCAAGAAAATGATCATGTAACTAGCTTCTTTCCTTCCCACACACAGAGCATCAGGAGAGAGTTACAGCCTAAAGGCCCCGAGCCTCCCTGCTACAGGTGTTCTGGAATCTCTGGGCCCTTCTTACCCGGTGGAGAGCAGACACTGTCTGGAAGGACGAACCTTTCTTCTTGCCTCCTTTGCCTTTACCACTGTCGCCTAAGAACACGAGAAGGACCAATGAATAAGAACTTAAAAACACAGGCACTCCTGGGCAGGGGCAGGGGCAGGGCAGGGGCAGGGGCAGGGGCAGGGGCAGGGCACAGGCAGGCCAGGGGCAAGGTCCTCAAGGGCTGTGTGACTTTGGGCCAACTGTTTTCCATGAGGGTGGCAGTAACCACCTCTAAAAGCTAGGGAGAGTACTGGCTAAGATAAGCCTATAAGACAGCTCACCTGGAGTTCAGAAAACACTATCACGGCCCTGTTCTTCCCCTCTCCTAACCTCTCCTAACCCCACCTTCACGCTCTTTCCATTTTCTCTTTTTCAACTTCACCCTAGTCATTTCAAACCACACCTGTTTTCTCTGTTCTCTGAACCGGGGGCTCATCTGCCCTACCCTTTGTTCAATGACCTTCTCCGTGTGCGTTAAAAACTCCTTTGTGTATTGCTCTGTGCTGGGCATCTACAGAAATGTGTGTGCCACCCTTGCTGACCGCCAGGCTCTCTCAGCCTTCGGGAGACAGACATGTGTGCCAGTATCCATGGCACAAGGTAGGGAATGGTACAGGGGAGTGGAGATGGACGGGCTGGGCTCGGCTGCTGCCTCTGGGCCCCACACCTGTGGACCCCAGGCCACCGTAGGGGTTGCCCCCTTACCAGTATCAGCAGAAGCATAGGTGGAGAAGAGTGTGGCCATGAGCTTGAGGGAGGACTTCTGGTACAAGCCCACCACGGTCTCATTGAGGGGGTCCTTGTTCTTTTCCAGCCAGCCCATGATGTTGTAGTCCACGGTGCCAGCATAGTGCACCAACGAGAAGTGGGCTTCCTGCTTCCCCTTGACGTTGCGAGGCTTCTGGAAGTTGTTGGACTTGCCCAGGTGGTTGTCATACAGCTTGGCCTTGAAGGTCATGTCTGAGGCCTTGGGGAACATGCACTCCTCCTCCAGGATGGACATGATGCCCATGGGCTGACAGCGTAGGCCAAGGAGAGAAAGAATCCCTGTTTACACTCCCACACTCTGCCAAGAAGACTCAGCAGGATAGGAAGATGTATTCTTTTCTTTTCTTTCTTTTTTTGGTTTCTTGAGACAGGGTTTCTCTGTGTTAACAGACCTGGCTGTCCTAGAACTTACTCTCTAGACCAGGCTGGCCTCGAACTCACAGAGCTCCTTCTGCCTCTGCCTCCCGAGTGCTGGGATTACAGGCGTGCGCCACCACTGCCCAGCTGATAATATTCTTAATTAACCTATATCCCATTGCATCTGGTGCTACCCCACATAATTCTTTCCCCCAATAGCAAAATAGCTA